CTTGTGTGTGGGCAACATTCTTGTTGCTCAACCTTTAGTAGGCGAAAAATAAATTCTTATCGTCTTATATTTACTGGCAAATAAAGAATTGTTGTAAAATAATAACTTTTGGTATTGCATGTGTTTATCTCAAGCTAATATACCAGTAATGTAGGGTTCTGTGAGCTATTTGTGAAGGTAGTTATGGCAAAGATGTAATGGGAAAGCAATAAAAATAAAAATCATACTTCTAATGACTACCACGTAGCTGGGGCAGATGGTTCAACTTGAGAGGTCGGAGCATATGGCAACGACAATGCCTACATATTTACCAGCTATGTCATCACACTGGGTACTTTGCGAAACTAAAAAAGCTTCACTTTTCTTTCCAATTTTTTTTGCAGTCTGAAGGTTTGTGTTGATATATTTAGTAGATGCAAACCCCATCGTAGGGGTATCCAACTTTTGATTTTCTTGGGCCATATTGGAGGAAGAGAAATTGTCTAGGGCCACACATAAAATACACTAACAATGATAGCTGAAGAGCAGAAAAAGTTGGGCAGATCACGAGTTAACGATCACTGATATAGATAATATACCTATTTGAGTAATAAAACTTAATTTTTTTGTAATGTATTTTATTATAAAAGTAAAAAGGGCAACATAAAACTAATGCGATATTTGACACTGATTTTGATAAACTATCGCATTAATATTTGGTTCGATGGATGTAGCAGCAATCAATGAATTCTCATGGTGCTCATCACATATTTTAGTTCTAATTTGGCCTTTGTGTGTTTCATCCTTGGAAATAGTTGCTCACAAATATAGGTGCTGCCAAAAACTGATGACATGAATAAGGAGTGATTGTGAAGTGAGATTTTTTTTGGGGGGGAAGATAAAACTTTATAAAAGTCCAGTAAAGAGTCACAGTCAAATTTTTCTTAGGCTGCATGTGTTCGCTAAGTGTAAATGCATTTTCACAAAAAATCCCCCCTCCAAAAATCAACAATTAAGTTTACGATTTTGTGTTGGGCCGCATTCATAGCCACCTTGGACAGCAGGTTGGACACCCCTGCCCTAATGAAATGAATTTGCTGCACGTCTATGCATCATAACAATGATAGTGCTGCTGTGGGCTCTTTGCAGTTCTATCTGTCTGTATGCACTTGTTGCCTCCATGTGGTGGGGTGACAACACAGGAGCACAATTGGGAGACAAGGACATAGCATTGTTACCCAACAAGAGGAAGTGCTTCAATGAGAACCTTCATGTGAAAATTACCAGGTTTTATTCTTAAAGCTAAAGATATAAAAATATTGCAAATTCCTTTTGACATTACATTATCATGTTCAAAGTTATATGAGATTTTGGTGATTGTGTTTCGTAGTTTGTAGCATAGCTATTTGTGACCAATGCATTCTAGTCATTCCACACAAGAAATTGTGTTCTCTCTTTTATGAGCAAAAGTAATTATTAGTACCCATGGAGCTTGTATGTATAACCTTGGTATTATTTATTATTATTAAAAAAAGAATGATAAATTAAGATGTAGCCACTTGCTGAAGGAGTGTTGTTTATCAAACCATGTGATTATTCTAATTTTTACTAGCTTTTCAAAAGGTAAGTAACGCAAGAAAATTCTATTACAACTGAACACAGGAATGTTCTAATTTGAATAGAAATTGCCACAAAAATAATGTAACATATTATTCAAACTGCTGTACCTCACTGAGATATATCAGCAAACTGCTTTGATTCTTTTTTTTTTTAATTGAGGCAGATTATTTATTATAAGCATTAGAATATCTAATACAAATAGGATCTTGCTGAGAGAAGGCTACAGAAATACACATGAAGCCATATTCACAACGTTGTAGTTCTGTAACTCTTGATTAGCAGTTGCCGGAGTAGTGAAAAATGTCCTTTAAAGCAAAACAGGAAAATGAAACAAACAACACCAAACCAATGGATTTAGAGTCCAACTATAATTACAGTATTTTTGGCGTATAAGACTACTTTTTATACTTAAAAATATACCCCAAAAATTGGGGGTCGTCTTATACGCGGGGTATAAAATGTGAACCTTGAGTCAGAGAGTCAGCTGAGTCAGAGAGGTGGGCTGATGATGTCACAACCTCAGCCAATCCGAGCAGGCTTTGTATTCATTAGTAGAATACATCGCTCGCCGTGATCGGGCCCAGCGTATACTGTATGTAGCCTCAGCTACTGTACATACACACATCCAGCGGTCTGATTACCGTAGGGATGTACCGGTACATTTTGAAACAGCTTGGCTCAGTATACTGTATATACCGCACATCCAGCGGGCTGACAGATTAATCTGCCATAGGGACATTTGTTTTGAGCCAGCTTGGCTCAGCGCGGTATACTGTATATACATTACTGCACATCCAGCGGGCTGTATATATACTGTATACTGTATGTAGCCGAAGCTACCGTATTACCGCACATCCAGCAGTAACCATCTGATTTAGAATTTGATCCATATGATGACTGTCTTACAAATGTATCATAAGATGTCATTCATGAACTTATGATGTCAGAGGATGAACATGAGGATTTTGAAGGATTTTAAGTACCGGTAAGTCATAACCATTTCAATTTAAAAATCGTATGTTTTTAATTGGTGTTGCCTCAGAAGGGGGGTAGTCTTATACGGCGAGTATAGCCCAAAACCTATGTTTTAACTGGAAAATTAGGGGGTCGTCTTATACACCCAGTCGCCTTATACGCCGGAAAATACGGTATATCATAATAAAGGTCCAGTGTACATAGGTCAACCCGTGCTACTTCATTAGGGTTTAAACTGTTGAATATGATAAAAATAGCATACTCTAAATTACGTCTAAAGTAGTAAAGCTAACTAAGTGAGCTAACTAACCCACTATTGAAGCCTACTTTAGATGAAGAAACGTTTATACTTCTGAACTTTCTATACTCTTTTGCAATTTTTATCTAGTTTAATCAGGATATCTGACAAAAGGGACTTGTACATCCCCTGGGACACATTGGTGTCTTTAGCTTGTTTTTCATTATAAAATAAATGTTTCTAGATAAATCAGTTGGTATGGCAGTGGTGTTTTTCCAACTCCCGGATCTCCCTTGAGGTGCTTTTCAAGGCTGCCTTTACATTTGAGAGAAGCTTAGCCAGAGCCATTGTGCCCAACAGCACAGACTCTGCCCTGCACTGTGAAATAAAATTAATGGTGGATCCAGCACCACCTACCAAAGTCCCCTGAATCTTTTTGACACACTTGGAAAACCATACTGCATGGATACTGACTGGCATCACAACAGTCATTAGCAGGTGGTGACTGCAAATGACTGCCGTGATATCAGGTGGCACAATAGTTGTAGACAGATGGGACCAGGAGGTACAAGAGGAATTAGGTTCCAGCATTGTCAGGCTTGATTTGGTGTATCCAGGAGGTGCCAGGATGCAAAACAACAACAGTCATGGTTAGGGTTGCCACTTTGTCTATTTTTCCAGCCTGGCTGGTAAAAAGAGGACCTGGTGCTAATGTTATTAATGGAAAAAATCATAAGGATCGACTATTTTTTTTCCCAGAAAAGGTGACAACCTTATGAATCTGGCTAGTGTAGCCTCTTGTGATTTACCTTGCAGTGGAGGACCGTGAGGACATGACCTGGCCGTGTAAATCTTACAACTGACTGGACAAATATGCACATCTGTTGGCAGATAGTACAAGTTCCACAATAAATATATATATATATATATATATATATATATATGCATATATTTAGCTGTTTGCCCACTGTAGAAGTTGAGCACCTGTTAGGCAAAGTTTGATTCTGGGCCTGTTTCCTACTCCAACTGCACCAGGTTCAGACTGAGACTTATTACAGACTTATTACAAATGCCAAACAGAGAAAGAGACTCTGAATCACCCCCACAGCAATATGTGTAATTTAAGTACAACTAGCACAGTGCTCAGGCTCCAGCATTATTTATCCTCTGAGGATCATTCATCTACAGCGTTATTGGAAAAGGTTCATCGCCAAGTATCCGGTATTTAACGTAGAAATATATTGTTGATATGTCCCTCTAGAGTGGTTAATTATGCAGTAGTTAATTATTCACCAGCGTACTGTCCTGGGATAAGTCCTTAGGGATACTGAACTGCATTGCTTTGTTGCCTAAGGCTTGTGGAGGATTGCAGCCTCGATGTAAGCGAATTACGGCCTTTTTTCTTTAATTGTAAAGGCGTTTTTTATTTCAGTCGCTAGCCTTTGAATTATGCTTAAATGTGTTTATCTTATCTTAATTTTATGTTAATTTCTGTATAAAATATATTTATATTTATTTGTGCTTATGTTTAATCGTATGTTCATATCTGCTGGATTTTTATTCTATACATGTTAAAAGTCAGTTTTTTATTTATTAATCCTATTTAAGATTTTATTAATGTATCTGTAAACCATGAATTCATTTGAAACTATTTGCTGCTGAAGTACTACTGCAAAATTAATAACAGGCAGTTGAATGTTAACAGACAAGTTAGCGATATAAGCATGTATACTAAACTAATGATTAAATACAGATCTTTTAAAAAAATGCATGTGGATTCCGTATACCTACTGGAGCACATTTAGCAAGTGAAAGAAATGTTAAATTCTGTACATACTGTATATGTAGTCTGTTTTGTATGCTTTATGCTTTGCACACTGCACTTACCGTATTTTTCGCTCCATAAGACGCACCTGACCATAAGACGCACCTAGGTTTTAGAGGTGAAAAACAAGAAAAAAAAATATTCTGAACCAATGGACTGCAGACATAGTACAGGGGATGACCAGAGACTGCGGACACAGTACAGGAGATGACCAGAGACTGCAGACATAGTACAGGAGATGACCAGAGACTGCGGACAAAGTACAGGGGATGACCAAGAGACTGCGGACATAGTACAGGAGATGACCAGAGACTGCAGAAACAGTACAGGAGATGACCAGAGACTGCGGACACAGTGCAGGGAATGACCAGAGAACTGCGGACACAGTGCAGGGGATGACCAGAGACTGCGGACAGTGCAGGGAATGACCAGAGACTGCGGACAGTGCAGGGAATGACCAGAGACTGCGGACAGTACAGGGAATGACCAGAGACTGCGGACAGTACAGGGGATGACCAGAGACTGCGGACAGTGCAGGGAATGACCAGAGACTGCAGACAGTGCAGGGAATGACCAGAGACTGCGGACAGTGCAGGGAATGACCAGAGACTGCAGACAGTGAAGGGGATGACCAGAGACTGCTGACCTTTGGGGAGGGAGGGGGAGCGGGTACCTGAATTTGACAGGTACCCGCTCCCACTTCCGCGGAGTTGCCTTCCCTCTTCTTCCCGGGCCGGCTTCTGTGACAGCCGGGTGCCCACTGCGCAGGTGCAAGAAGCGCTTCGCTTTGTGAATGGCCCGGCGCCTTCTGTGACCTTTCATGTGTCCCAGAAGACACCGGATCATTCACAAAGCGCAGCACATGCGCAGTGGGCACCCGGCTGTCACAGAAGCCAGTGCGGGAAGACTGTGCAGCGCTGGAGCGAGGAACAGGTAAGGCCCTGCAGGAGAGAACAGCTGAGCGGCCGGCCCGGTATTCTGACATGGTGGCGGCAGAAATACCGGACCGGCCGCTTTACATTCGCTCCATAAGACGCACTGACATTTTCCCCCCTTTTTGGGGGGGAAAAAAGTGCGTCTTATGGTGCGAAAAATACGGTATATTCTGCACATGGCACCAGTACACTTTTCACTTCACCAAACTATTCTGTCATGTACTCACATTCTTGAGACCCTGATAAGACTTCAGCCTAGACTATACATCATTTCATATACACCCCCTATTACCTTAACAGTAGAATTGTAATATTAATATGATATCTACATGAGCATGTCTGTAGAAAAACCTCAAATGCACAAAATAAATGAAATAAACAGAGCAGTTGTTTGGAAAGATGCTGAGTGTATCTTTTTGCATCTGTTCTCTACTGCAGTAGTCATTATTTTTTTTTAACAGGTAATACATTTTTCATTAAAGCAGTTGCAAAGTCAATATTTATTAGAATACAAAACAGGGTATGCTTACCTGTTCTGTGGTCTGTCAGTTGTATTACACAGAATAGTGTATTGCCTTCTTTTCTGGAGTCCCTCCACCAGTACTGTCCACTCCTTCTCTTCTGTCTGTGCCCCCATAGCAAGCCTTGTACTATGGGGGCACATGTCCAGGTGTGCTCGCGAGCAGTACATAGACACACAGAGTACAGCTTGACCACACCCCCTCCCTCTTCACAGGATTTTTGTGACAGCTGCAGGAGCCAATAAAAAATTAATATATATCTACAAATATATATATATGTGTCGCACTCCAAAGTATACATATAAACTCATATATTAGTGATCATATGAATATTCACGTGAAAAAATTAAAAGTGCTTCAAACCAGTGCAATAATATTAATCCAAAACTCATAAATAGTCCTCTTTATGCTCTTATGACTTTTCAGTGACAAAATATGGTGATTCGTGCCACACTCCCCGCGCTCTATAGATAGGTGTGCGCTCACCTCCTTAATTAGCCAAAAAAGGCTAAAAACACTTTTTGTGTTTATCAGGACAGGGTAGGGAACTTCACATTAAATACGTGTTTCCATCCATGCTGTGGATTGCCTTGTTTCTGCCACCAGAGGTCTCCTTTATTCCTCCTTCCACATTTTAGCCTCAATGGATGGGTAGAAATGATTTGGATGGTATATCTTCCTCTCAATGAACCATGTAAAAGAGAGCCACAATAGTGCCTTATCCTTTGTGAGGTTCAATCTTTTATTAGTATAGTAAAGTCACCACTCACATTTTGCAGTGTCCACTAGATCAGTATTCAGCTGGTACATGCCCCAGATCCGGTTTTGTGTGCAGTTATCTATGAATCTCCCATACAGATCCTCAGCCACACCTAGATGACGTTTCTCTAGCTCTGCATTGGCTGTCTGTAGCAGGCTATGCTCCATTTGCTATTTCTGACAGTACAACCTCATCACATGACTGTCCCGAGACATTGCAGGAGCCAATGGTTTCCACTGCACTCATTGTAGCCTGTGTGAGCAGGAGGAACAGCTGTACACAGCACTGGATCAATAGAGAACTCAGGCAAGCAGTTATGGAAGGGGGTTGGGGGGGGGAGGAACAGCCAGTAGAAGGTGTTTTTTTTTTGTTTGTTTTTTTTTTTTCCATAAAAGTTTTATTGTTACAGCAGGAGGTTACAGTACAAAAAACAGGACATTTGTAAAACCTGGTATGATAAACAAACACATTAGGTATGAATATAGACATACAACCAGTACAGTATGGGTAAGGTTCAGTACAGGGGATGTATGCTGTATGATAAGCAACAGTATCATGTCGGCAAATGGAAAGAGCCAAGAGGAATAACCATTATGAAAGTTATATAGCATATAAAAAGGCTAGACAGTACTCATAAAAGGTTGCCAATTCCAGGGGTTATGCTAATGTTCCTGTAGCATGCTCATAATATTTCTTCCCCATGTGCCCTTCCCCTTGCTTCTCTGTTAGGGCATGTTCACACCATGGTGCAGAGACGTCAGCTTTTCTACACGCATTCTGCAAGGGTACAACTAAATCAATTGTTCCCTATGTGCCCTGTTCACACCACAACACTAGTATAACGTGCAGTTTTGTTCTGCGCTGGATTCTGCAATGTGTATAAAACTCATTGAAACACACATGAAAACTGATCAGTTTATCTGCACGTATGGTAGGAACAAGGCTTTGAGATCGACGGATCAACTATCAACCAGTCCTTGCATGCCTAGGTGCTAGGTGTAATCTTGGACTGTGAACCATCTTTTCAGCCCCCATCCAATCAATGTCCAAAAGCTTTCTGCCTCAACCTCTGCAACATCTCCAAAATATGTCCCTTCTTAACCAATGACACCCCAAAGCTTCTAGTCCACTCCTCTCACCTTGAATACTGAAACTCCCTCCTCATTACCTTACGGCTATCTCCCCTTCAGTCCATCATGAATGCTGCTCCTGTACTCATTCCTCTTACCAACCACTCAGTCTCAGCTAATCCTCTCTGCTGGTCCCTCCACTGGCTCCTGTTCACCCAACAAATTAAATTCAGAATACTAACAATAACTTACAATGCCATTCACAGCTCTGTCCCCAGCTACATCACTAGCCTAGTCTCCAAATATCAACCAAATTTTTCTCTACATTCCTCCCAAGACCTCCTGCTCTCTAGCTCCCTTGTCACCTCTTCCCATGCTCTACTCCAGGACTTCTCCCGAGCCTCTCCCAACCTATGGAACTCCATTTCTAAATCTGTTCTACTATCTCCTACTCTGTCCACATTTAGACAATCCCTGAATACACTTCACTTCAGAGAAACCCATCACCTCCACCTAACAACTATATTTCCACTTTCACCATCAGCTCATCCTCCACACTTATCACCTTTTGTATCCATTGACCCTCCCTCTTAGATTGTAAGATCTAATGAGCAGAGCCCTCTGATTCCTTCTGTATTAAATTGTATTGTTATTATACTGTCTGCCGTTGTTGCCGTAAAGTGCTGTGCAAACCGTTGGTGCTATATAAATCCTGTATAATAATAACATTAATAAAAAGTGGAATAGAAAACAATCAATTTAACATATCAACCTAACTCTACATAATTAAGAAGTATCATCTTTGGATTTGCAGTAGTTATTTTTTAATTTGGGGCCACTTATCAATATTAGAGTAGGAGTTGCCAATCTGTAAAATGTCCAGGACAAACCCATGCCATACAGTGGGATTAATATCAACATTTTTTCATTTCAGGTAATTGACCCTGGACAGACCTCTCTGGAAGACCTGTTAGATATGACTGATGAGCAGGTTTGCGAAACACTTGGGAAGTTTGGTGCTAGCAACGAGGAGTGTGATCGGTTAAATGCCTCCCTTTCTTGTCTACGCAGTGTTCACAAATCAGGTATAAATCCTAAACTAAACATTGTGTGCCCTGTTTATTCTGCGGGCATCAAATTCATACAAGCAAAAATTCTGATCAATGCATAGCAGAAAATGTGCCTAATTGCACGCCTGTATTTTGTTGTATTAAAACGTATGAGCCCTGAGCAAGAGTGTCCTGGGCTCTTGACTGTTTGGATCATGGGAAATGTTTAGAAATGTTCACACTTTCTATAATTATACAAGGCAGTTGAAATGACTGGCCTTTCTCTCACCTTTTTAACACAGAGTACCCCTTATAATAGCTTCTAGTCTCAGGGAACCCCTGCTAATAATTACTATATCTACAGCTCACTGTACATTGGCATGATGATCACTGGGAACAGGTCTGCTGTTAGAAACCATGGGGGCCCTATACAGCCATCCTGACATGGCCCCCACCCTCCCAAAAAAAAGACAATTTACTATGCTTCTGTTGTGAATGATTGCAGTGAGTGATCAATACCAATCACTCATTGTGTTCATTCAAGAAAGGAAGGGCTGGTAAATGTGACATGTAAATGTACTTATCAGACCCTTCCCACACTCTCCGTCCTGAAGGATCCTATTGTGTGCTTGCAGTTGCTGGTGGGAAGGAGAGGAGAGAAGCCATCAGCACTGCAGGGGTGGAGGCATACAGGGGTCCTGGGCAGCAGAGGGAAACATATGGTGCTCAGGGAGGGTGATTGGAGTGGTGGGGGGGTGGGGCAACAATTACTGGAACCAATCCCCTGTATGGTCTCTCTGCAGCAGCTGAAAGCCTGGGGGAGGGACAGGAGAAGAAGCCAGCTTTCAGCTGCTGCGGAGAGAGCCATACAGGGGATTGGTTCCTGTAATTGTCCCCCCACCATGCTGATCAGCCTAACTGCCCATATCTGATTCACCCAGCTGCCTGGGCCCCCCTGCTGGCCTTGGCCCTGTTCAGGAGGACTGGTGGTACCCCTTATCCACGGCCCTGACTGGGAAGAATGTTGCATATACTTGTGGTCATCGAGAGAATCACCCCTTACATATACCTAAAAAGACCATTGTTGTCATTGTGATCATTGAGAGGCAGAAATTTCTCATTGCTCAAGGATCCCCTAGCAACCCTTGGAGAACCTTACAGTTTCATTGAACCTGGGTTAAGAAAGGTTGTTCTACAAGAAGTGGATGGACTTAAAGTGAGGCAGCTAATTGCGGGTGCACAAAGAGGTCATACTCATTTGAAGTTACATATACCCAGTGAAATGACTGACCTCAGGTGATACACAGAGATGAAACAAATCCTCCTACATAAATTGTACTTGTTTAGCTGCAGTCTTCTCTACAGACAAATTTATACAGCTTGCCTGGATGGGGAGTTAAGTTACACTCTGCAGAGCTCAGTGAGGGTAGGTCTGAGAGCTGTTTGGAGGGAAGGCACCCCCCCCCCCTTCACATACCACACAGGAAGAGAGCTGAGGCTATCAATCACAGGCTGTAT